GGCTCTGTTAGGGCAGATATAGGAGCACAGTGGTTAAGCGTTGTTACCACAGGTAATGTTGGAGGTACTGAGAGTAGAGTGGAGCTCCCTTCTGCAAGGCAGTGGGATTCCAGCATTGAAAATTACTGGGGTTACAGGAGGTTTGGGCTTTTTGGAATGGTGACTTGGTGGGAGGCTTTGTTTAGGAAGGCAGTGTTAAAAAAGGTAAGTATCAGATCGGAATGGAAATGCTTTCTTTGTTGAAGTTATTAGCAAGTCTTTAACAGGCCTTTATTTCTTCTTTTTAGATTGTGAACAAATCTTCATGGCAGAGAGGGTTTGCCTATGGAAGTGTTATCAAGATGGAGAGCATTGACCTTTCCCTTAAAGCCAGCAGGGGAGGCGATAATTTAGTCTTCGGCATCAGGCCTGGTGATCCGAACATTACGGAGAAGCTGGATGCCGACGGACTGCCTTTTGTTGGCTCTATTCTACAGCCTGGGGACCCCTTCTACAGCTTCATGAACCTCAACACAGGGGAGACCTTCACTGTGTACTATCCGTAAGTACAGCTTGTCCCTCCTGCCTCCACACAGCTGGTGGTGAGCAGTCTGAGAGCATTTGGCCCTCATGAGCTGCAGTATCTTTTCCTCTAAGTGTTCCCTTTTCTCCTCATGCGATAGTGTCCATGTCTTGACAGAGAAAACATGTAGGTGACTCCCAAGCATGTATCACAGCTTTTCTCTAAGCCAGTGTATGCTGCAGAGCCTGACTTATCCCAGGAGGAGGATCGGAGGCCGGTAAAAAAAGCAAGCTTGCAGAAATGTTTTGCTGTCTCCCAAGGACTGTTCCTCTGCCCATCCCCCACAGTCATTTTCTGTAGCTTTTTGTTAATTGACTCGCATAAGGTGTTCTGTCTAAAAAAAGCCAAAGAAATGCCTAACAGAAAACCAAAATAAAGTGCCTGGTTGCAGAGACTTGCCAGAAAACCTTGTAAGCAAAGTTGTTACAGGATTAGGGGTTCAAAGAGCATTTTTATTAACATTGCAGCTTCCAAACTGCTAGAATATTAAAATGTGTCAACTACACCCTTCCCTCCCCCTGGAATATTTCAGGGATAAGTTTTTTGTAAGATTTTTGAACTTCAGTTGAAAGAGAGAAGGCTGCGGAAGCTTTCATTAAAATCCTCTTAATTATTTCAGGAAGGGGAAGCAAAAACATAGACAAAACCTGATAAATTTAAATGCATCCTGCACTCCCAGTTGTCCATACAACTTCAGGCCTTACCTGTGTCTCTCTACAGCACTGATAGAGGGAGGATAATGCTGTGTAGTTATTCACATTGTGAAGGCAACTTAGTTTGAGAAGCACCTGGGTAACACAGTAACTGGCATTACTGGGAAAGCTATTGTTTATTACTCTGTAACAGGTGGTGCCTTAGCTGCACTGGGGAGACTGCCATGGACTTGTAGAATTAGTCATCCTGTTCGTAGAGCAGGGCTAAGAGATTTGGCACGTGGTAGTGGGGATCTGTAAGCTCAACCTTGTCCTTGCGCTTGTGGAGCCCTCTTTGGTTCTCCCACCCCACGCTCCTGCTCCCCAGCGCTCTCATCCTAGCCCAGCCTTAGTTCAGGTTCTTTATCCAGAGACCCTCTGTACCATTCAGCTTTTGTTCATTCTTGGTCCAAATCAGATAATTATTTAGGTTCCTACAGAGAGATGAGGTTCCCAGCTCCCAGTGTTGGCTCCTGCCCCCAGTTTGCCCCAGAGACCCAGGGCCCTTAAAGGGAGTTCTCCTTACTGTCCTAACTGCTGCATATGCTGCTAGATCTTACGCGTGGCTTGGAAGAGAGGGATGACAAAGGCTTTGACTTCAAAAGTTTGAACAAGCTTGGAAGAGGCTTATGAAGCACAGTTGGTTTGTTTGGGGTTTTTTTTTGGGGGGGGGGGTGATGGCCTGTACCCTGGTTGCATTTGGACACAGCAAAGTAACAGCTTTGAAACAGAAGCTAAGCTTAGGTACAGACCTTCTGCAAACACTGCATTTATTAGGACTTCAAAGGAGAAGAAGAAAAGTAACCCTGTCTTAACATGGGACAAGATGTGTTTTATTCCTTAGCTGTCAGCTCCAAAACTAGTGGAGAGTTTGGGCTGAAAGCTCTATAAAAACAGTTAGGCCTGCAGCAGACACCTAGCACGTGGAACATCAGCTGAGGGTTCATCTAGAGAAACAGTACACCCCTGAACAAAGGACTTGTTGGCAAAGCCCTCTCAGCTCATACTGCGCCTTCCCTTTCTGCTCTGAACCTTCCTCTCTGCTTTGCACGTAACCTGGTTCTTTATTTTGGTATCACACCAAGATGGTGTGAATTTATTGGGGGTAGGGAGAAGGACTGCTGCCTTTTCACAAAACAAATGGCACTGGGATGCAGTTTGTTGTATAAAGTGTGATACAGATGAACCAGGTTTAAATGATCTTTATTTTAAATCGTGGGTGGCACATTATCTGAAAGTTGTACCTGTGCTTCTAGTATTAGAAAAAGCAAGTGAATGGCACTTGGCTGATGCCATTGTATTGCTTCCTTGTCCTAATTCTTACGTAGTCTGATTTCCCTCACTACTGAATAGTACTTTTCAAGCATGGTGTTGTTCCCCAGCTGTCCCAAGGCATTTTATGAGACTTAATGAAGTGGTTTGGTTTTTTTCCTAGCTAAAAATCATTAGCACACCTGACACCTTTGCTGTGATTGTTTTTTCCACCTACACAGGAATAAGGAAGTCGGCATTGTAGACAACGTCAGGTTATGCAGTAATGACCGTGGCACTGGGAAATTCAAGAAGGCTTGCATCACTGTGAGGGTTCCCCGAAATCCAACTGTCGGAGACAAATTTGCCAGCCGTCATGGACAGAAAGGTATCCTGAGCCAGCTCTGGCCAGTTGAGGATATGCCGTTCACAGAGGACGGGATGGTTCCAGACATCCTCTTCAACCCTCATGGCTTTCCCTCCCGTATGACCATTGGGATGTTAATCGAGAGCATGGCGGGGAAGTCGGCAGCGCTGCACGGCATCTCCTACGATGCCACTCCCTTCACCTTCACGGAGAAGAATTCTGCTTTGAAATACTTCGGCGAGACTTTAGTGAGCGCAGGTTATAACTACTTTGGGACGGAAAAGATGTACAGTGGCATCAGTGGCCTGGAGCTGGAGGCGGAGATCTTTGTGGGAGTGGTGTACTATCAGCGCCTGCGCCACATGGTCTCAGACAAGTTCCAGGTGAGGACAACGGGGCCCCGAGACGCTGTCACCAACCAGCCCATCAAGGGGAGGAACGTGGAAGGTGGGATTCGCTTCGGCGAGATGGAGCGTGACGCTTTGCTGGCTCATGGCACGTCTTTCTTGCTGCAAGACCGCCTGTTCAACTGCTCCGATGGCTCCATAGCCTATGTCTGCACGAGCTGCGGCAGCATGACGTCGCCTGTGCTGGAGAAACCACCGCACTCCTCCTCCGTGACAAGCAACAGGAGGTACTCCTGCTCCGTCTGCAGCGAAGTGGACGCAATCGAGGTTGTCCCTGTCCCCCATGTCTTCCGTTACTTTGTGGCAGAGCTGGCAGCCATGAACATAAAAACAAAGCTCAACGTGGAGTAGCTCTGTCCTCGGGCACAGCGATGCTGCTGCTGGGAGGGAGGAAGCATGCGTCAGTCCTGCCTTTGCCCCCTGCGGGTTTCAAGCGTTAAGTCAGTTCTCAGGTTCTTCAAACGTTTGCAAGATAAATTTGATGTTTGTACCGAGACGGGGCGGTCGCCAAGCTGTATGGCGAGGAAACACGGCTGTGTTGAAGTTTGTTTACACTTCCTAAAGGATCACTAGCTATTGAGATGTGGCGTATGGAAATCAAGCGGTATCACTGCTCCCTCCAGGCTGCTGGGTTGAGAGCGGTGGGGCTTCTTTATGCTCCGAGCGCTGGCTGCAGCTGTGCAAAGATGAAGAGGTCATAAAACAGCATGAAGCGAATGCTGGGAATGACGGAAAAAAAAGGATATATTTTGTTTTGTGAAGAAAAGTCCTTGCAAAACGCATGCCTTAATGATGGGTACGTGTTAAAGTGATTGGACACGTTTTGTTTTGCCCTATTTCAATACGTATGCTTTGAAACTCATGAAGAAGGCGCAAAGTTCTACCGCACGAAGCCGCAGCCTCGACCCCAACAGACCACGGTGGCCGAGCCAGGCCCGTCCCGGGAGCGTTTGGTATCGCTGAGCCCAGAACCTCCCTTGGTTACGGCACCGCAGCGGGATTTGGGGGGTTTTTTGGTGTGTTTGGCTGAAGGAGATAAAAAGAAGAAAGCAGAGGGCTTTCCGGCCTGGCCCTGAGCCTGCATCTCATGCTGTTAAAGCGCAGACACCGTGGGACAGGAGCTGGCCGTGTCCCCGTCGACGTGCGCAAGCCCGGTCCCCCGCAGCCGCTGCCGCCCCCGGTGGGTGCCAGTCCCGTTCCCCCCGGGGCACCGGCCGTGCTCCCGCCTACTCCCACCCCATCCCTTGCCCCCGTCCCGGCCGGGCCGGCGCCCCGGGGCGGCAACCATACGCTTCTTGTTAAAAAAGTTCTTTTGTACGTTTCTACATCACCTGTCTTCAGAGCCGTGCTGGGGA